ATGTTTGATATTTCTTTAATGAGAGATATGAAAATACTCACCCGTGCGTATTTGGATGAATAAGGGTCTTCGAAAAGCGCCCAGATTTTGGGTTGCCACACGCGCCACCAACCCACTTTGCGCCCGTCCTCGTGCAAGCAGAGACGCCGCAGGTCTCCGTCCGCTCCTCCCGCGAGCGCGGCATCGTCGTCCGGCGGGTCCGGTTCGGGTGTCTCGAAGCTGTCGAGCGCCTCCTCGGCGTCGCGGTGCTGCCGGTAGTTCATCCAGCAGCACGCCTCCACATCCGTCTCGTCGATGCCCCAGAAGGCGAGCTCCTCCTCGAAGAGCGGGCCGCACACGTCGCCCGGGCAGTGCAGCTTACCGGTGCGGTAGTAGTTGAGCACGAAGGCGAACACGGCTGGGTGCCGGTCGAAGAAGAACTCGTCGGCCGCCGCATCGTAGTCGAAGTTGCTGGACGCGTCGGGCTCGGTGAGCCACGCGAGGCGCGTGCCGGGCAGCGTGCGCAGCGTGCTGCGGTAAGTCTCGTGGCGCACGCCGCCGCAGTTGATCACGATGCGCTCGCTGTCCGCCGGGCACGGCATGTCGGCGCTCCCGCATGCCTTGTTGGACGACTGGTTGCCCGCCTTGCGCCCTCGGAACGACGACACGCACACCGAGCTGAGCATAGAGAGGAGGGGGTGGGGGTGGGAGGAGGTGAGAAAACCGGGAGGAGAGGGAGGAGTCTGCGGAGGACGAGAGACATATAGAGACACAGAGAGAGATGAGTGGGAAAGATGTTTGGTATATAACAGGGAACTTTTCTATCTATCTATCTATCTATCTATCTATCTATCTATGTATCTATTCACAGATCTTTTTGTCTATGTATCTATCTGTCTACACACGTATGTGTCCCTGTCAGTCCGCGGATCTTTCTGTGCGTCTGTCTGTAGATCTTTCCATCCCTCTGTTTATGTCTTTCTCTGTCTGTCTGTAGATCTTTCCATCTGTTTGTCTGTATATCTGTCCGTCTTGTAGAGCTTTCCATCTGCCTGTCCATATATTTGTTTATATATCTATCTGTCTCTCTCTGTACATCTCTCCCTCGTCTGTCTCTGTCTGTTTCTTTCTCTGATCCTTTGTTGTGGGGTTCAGCGTACAGCCTTTAAGGACAAACTAAGACCACTTAAGGGTTTTAGATTTAACATATGCTCTAAGAGTGTGTGTTGTTTCTTGTTTATCTATATCTGTGTGTCTCTATCTATCTATCTATCTATCTATCTATCTATCTACCTTTCTGTCTAGATGCCAGAACACGTGTGTGTGTGTGTGTGTGTGTGTGTACTGAGTATAACACTGATCCCATGAAGCACAGCAAGATCCCCTGTGTTAAATGAACAGCTCCGGTGATTACTCGTGCCCAGCTGGACACACACACACACACACACACACACACACACACACACTTCTGTGTTAATTCACTGGTTGCTTTGCAGGTTTGTTCTAATTCTGCTATTGTAACATTAGCATTAATCTGCAGTGACCGCAAAGGCTCTGAGAACCAAAACAACAACAAAAGAGCACAGAATTATTACAGACGGGAACAGAATGAAGTCCTGAAGCTCTGGAGCATGACCATGACATGACATCATCACCAAAATGATCAGTGTCACTACCGTGATGTCACTCAGTCGTCCGCTGAAAATAAAGGACACGACATACAGCAAAGAACACTTAGTGTACTGCGCAATGCTGACCTGAAGCACTACAACAGTACAGGCGAACAAGGGTCAAAGGTCATCCTACTTGTAAGACTGCCATATAGTATACTAAATAGATAGATAGATAGATAGGTCATTAAACACTGTATGACAGCGCGGGGATGCTTTTATAGGAAAAGAATCAACGACAGGGTGGTGTGATGTGAGCTGCAAAGTGTCCCAAAGTATTTTATTCTTCCTATACTGTGGCAATTTACCAAGGCTCGCAATATTTTATTTATTAATGTAAAATCTTTTTTTTTTTATCCATTTCATTTAGTTACTTTTAATGTTGTGGAACATCTGTGAAAGTTAACAGCCATTTCCTCACCAGCCTCTTTTTTATAAGTTAATGATACAAAAAAAAAAAAAAAAAAAACCACACCTTGTCTTGTTCCCGAAAAACCACTGTCGGAAAAGTTATCGCTTTAGCTCTGACTGTTACAAAGCACTGACAGTGGAGACTCCTTCCATTAATGTTAAATGAACATCTCCTTACAGTAAACCTCACCCCTTTCAGTGCGGCCATCTGATTATGCGCATTTTGTTTCAATTTTGAGGCTTGTCTCAACCCCCTTATCCTGTGTGTATATCCTGATTATTCTCACCTGTTCTCTGTTCTTCCCGTGATTGGTTTGTCTATGTTATACCCTCGTGGGTCTTTGTGTCTTCATGAAGTCTTATCATGCATTCTTGTCGTGTTTCCCCATTACCGAGTTCCTTGTTTTCTAGCTCTGTGTATTTCCTGGTTTTAAGTGCCGTATGTTTTCACGTGTTACAGTTATAGCTTACTCTTGGTTAACATCGTCTGCCAGTGTTCCGACCCCCGATGCAGACTCGGACAATGATTCAAGGATGCTCAGAATAAGCACCACTCTGAGTTTATTGTTACTGTTACTATATAAATGATAACGTATTACAACCACCACATTAATGATTAGACTTGCAGCAAGAACTACTATCAGAGCTGCTGTTATAGAAAATTAATCAACACTTTCTGACCAATCAGAATCGAGCATTTAAAAGCACTGTGGTATGAAACATGTAAATTCGTTGGCTTTCGGTGTAATTCTGCACTGTAGCTGTTGATTCAAGGATTTGTCTGGAGAGTACTGTAGATAGTGAGTGTTGTTCAGAATTACAATGTCATTCAGTAAAGTGAACAGAGAGAGAGACAGAGAGAGAGAGAGAGATGTGTGTGTTCAGCAGTATAGCATTCCAGCGCTAACGTCACTAGCAGGAGGTGGGGTGGGTTTGGGGGTGAATGAGTTTTCTGCTGCAGTAAAAGCTGGAGTTGCTTTCTCATTTCGTCCTCTGCTCTCTCTCTCTCTCTCACTCTCTCTCTCTCTCTCTGCCACTGCAGTACCGTCTGTGTTACCTCTGTGCTTCCTGTTTGCCCATATGAAAACTAACATGTTAACTTCAATCTCTCGCTCTCTCTCTCTCTCTCAGTTTCCGCATTCAGTATTCTTTCCCACATGCTTCACTTTTCTCTCTCTCTCTCTCTCTCTTGCATCCATTTACTCATGTCCACCTTAACTCTCCTCTTTCCCACTTTCATCCTGTCCTCGTCTTCATTTATTCTAGTCGGTATCCATTCCATTCTTTCAGACTTCCTTCCATCTCTGGGTCCTCGCCAAAAGTTTGCAAACTTGAGTGATGGATCGGGACGGCCGAACGTGAGGTAGGATGCTTCTGATATAAAGTCTGTCCAGCATGACTTGTTTTTGTGGGCATGACTGCTAGCAAGGATAAGCCCATCCTGCCTTACAAGGATAACAAGACATCAATATAAGGGTTCATTTTCAGCATCCACATCTGATTATTTGCTGTTAACAAATGTCTGAATATTTTGGGCTTTTGTGGAAACAAGCGCGATAGCACGAGCAAACGGTCATAAGAATAACACACAAAAGAAACAAGGCTGGGGCTGATTTCTTTCCAACCCAGATTATAGATTCATGCAGGCTATCAGAGTGCTGGCGGTGCCCCCAAGCTGATATTTATCAGACAAATCTGTAACACGTGATCATTAGTGATTGAGAGGGTGCATGTGAAAAACTGTCACAGACAAGGTGGATTATTTACTCTATCATATATACTGTTAGATGAGAAACTAAAGCACACATTGTCCAATCAAAGTACAAATTACATAAAAGGACAAACCGTATAGTGTTTATTAATATGAACAAAAGAGCTAGGCTATGATATTTCTGTTTACCTTGTTTGATATTTGGAGGAAACGTTGCATGAAGCCATTAGAGCATGAGAGACTGGAAACAGCTCTACCATAACTAGTAAGAGCTAGCATAACTAGGATAACAATGATACACTCTTAGACAAAAGTGGTTAATGATTCTAACTTTCCAAAAAACTTCTACATTAAACCATTTCAGAAGGGAAACCCGTATGTTCTAATGTTCTATATTGAACCTAGTTTTTGCGTAGTTTCCTAAGAACCAAATCAAAGTTTAATGGCCTGCACATCATACGCTAAAGCAAAAGTCCATGACATCAAGGTTAACTGAAGCAGAACAAGCAGAATGGGAGGGAATCAAGTGATCAAATCTATAAACTCCAGCTAAAACTCGACTGATTTGCCCGCCTTTCTAGATGTTGTGTAATCATGGGACAGTGTGCTCACTGCCCCATTTAGCTCCATGGGGGAGTTATTATTGCACCTAGTGGTCAAAAATGTGAAGCAGTAATAGAAGCCCATTGGGGCATGAATCACAATGCCCCATGCTTGGTTTAGGAGCATTTTCAGTGTTAGGAGGGTCAGCAGCCAGAACAGTTAATGATGTGTGGCCCAGTTGTCTAGTTCAAAAATACTCAGAGATCTTGTTTTATAGCAAATAATCGGTATCGAATCAAAGTGTAAGTGTAAATAGTGTGTCTGTGATGTACAGGACCATTTCTCTTGCAAAGATTGGGCAAGGGAAAGGGGGATTACGGAGTGAAGAGTGTCCGTATGTCAGAAATGCTTGTGCACCACAGTGACCTTGTTTCCTCACGCAGAGGTTGAGAAAAAGAAGAAAAACATATCTCCCTTTTTCAATGTTGAATTTTTTAGGCTAGTGTCAAGACTCTTGTGTGGTTTCTTAACATTCACTATCCTATAGCATAAGTCAAGTGTGAGAGCCTCTCAACTTAAATTTGTTTGAGGCTATGCTGTTATTTATGTTATCCTGCACCACCAAAATCTATGGTCGCGAGCCGCTGCTGGATTTTATGGTAAACACTTAAGTGTCACTTCTGGGGTCCCTGGAGGACTAGTGGTTAGACCTCAGCACTCTCACTGCCTCGGCTCGGGTTCAATTCCCAGCCAAGGAACCCCATTAGACAGTGCATTCCCAGTGCCGGTCCCGAGCCTGGATAAAACTAGGGAGGGTTGTTCTGCTGTGGCGACCCCTAACGGGAGCAGATGAAAGAACAACAACTTAAGTGTCAATTCTGGGTTGAGAAACCAGAAATCAGCAGCTAGCTTTTGTCAGAAACAGACTCTGATGAAGGACAGAAGATGATTAACACAATGTACATGGAAAAAGATAAGCTTTTGTCTCTAACTGTAGACCTTTATGATGGATGGACTGGATAGATGACTAAACAGACCATCGGGGGTGGGGGTGTGTGTGGCAACGGTGGTTGTGGGAAGAAGTAAGAGAATAATGAAAAACAAAACAATAGGAAGGGAGACGATGAGAGAATGAACAGAGAGATGGAAAAAGGAGTTTAATTACCAAGCATTTACAGCACAGATGACATTCACTGTGTCCTCTACCGCTGCACTACAGTGTGTGTGTGTGTGTGTGTAAAATGGGAGGCAAACACTACTTATCAGTAAAGAGCAAGAAAAAAGACAAAGAGAGAGAAATCTGGGCCGAATATACGTTAGCAAACACTGCAGATCGTGGGGGGAGGAAAGAGAGGAAAAAAGAAAGGTGGGGGGAGAAGAGCAAGAAACAGAAAAACAGAGAGTGAATGATGTCAAAAATGCAAAACCTCTTCTATAAAAGTTAAAAAGAGAGAAGGGGGATTAAAGGGGAGCAGGATGGAGGGAGGAGAAGAAAAGGGAGAATAGCGCAGAGAGATGACGTGAGAGGAGGAGATGGAGGAGGGAGGAGGACCAGCGAGGAAGAGCAAAGGCAAGAATTTACATGTACAGTGTGAAGGAAGTGGCAGCGAGAGAATATCAAACAGAAAGAGGGGGAAAAAAACAAAGAGCGTAAATAAGGGGCGCGATCACACCAAGAGTGAGAGAGAAGGAGGGAGAGATGTGTGGGGAAGGTGTGTAGACAGAGAGAGGAGTGGGGGAGAAATAGAGTGGTGTAAAAAAAAAGAAATAGAAGTATAGAGAGAGAGAGAGACAGAGAGACATACAGAGAGAGTTGTAAAGTAAGGGATAGAGCAAGGGATAAAGAGCCAGGTGTAAAAAGAGGTATATAATGAGAGAGGGAAGACAGAAGTATATAAGGAGAGAAGAGATATGGACAGAGATAGGAAGGAAAAGGGAAAGACAGAATTAAATAGAGGAATGGAGGAAGGAAGATGGAGTTATAGAGGAATATAGAAAGAGGTAAAGAAGAGAGATAAAAGGAGAAAGAGATAAAGAAATGGAGGTATAGAGAGACAGAGACTGCAGGATGGATAGAGGGATAGTGAATTGGATGGGTAGAGACAGAAAACAGAAAAGAGGGAATGAAATATGGAATGGAAACCAGACAAAGAGAAACTTTATGGACAGAAGTATAGAAAGAAAGAGGGAGAAGAATGTGTAAGGTGTGGAGTAGATAGGAAGTACAGAAGGAGAAAGGGATGAAAGGGAAGAAAAAGAGGGAGGTATAGAGGGTGAGAGAGAAAGAGAGATAAAGGTGCTATAGACGGCAAAACAAAGTAAGAAGGGCAGCGGAGTAGAGGGAAGGACAGAGGGAGAAAGCAATAGAGCAAAGCAGAGAAGGAGGTAAAAACTGAGAGATAGAGAGAAGATGTTGGAGGAAGCTGGATTTTTCCCCCCCCGCCTGCAGCAGTGTTCCACCGCTGTGCTGTAGAGAACGCCTCAGGCTCAAACTCGCACTCTTTCTGCATCTCCCTCCCCCTGTACTTGTCCTCTGCCTTTCTCTCTCTCTCGTCCTCCAGAGGCGCCACCAGCAGGACGAAGGTGGTGTTGCAACCAGCAGAATACTGCAGTCCCCTCCCACTTCCATGCAGTGACAACACTAACCCCACTCTCCCCCCTCCAACACACACACACACACACACACACACACACACACACACACACACACTCTCTCTCTCTCTCATACATCCCTTCATGATCCTTCATGATCATCTCCCCACAAGCTCCAAATCTATCTGTATCTCTCTGTCTGTCTCGCTCTCTTTGTGTATCTGTCTTTCTGTCTCTGCCGCTCTGTCTGTATCGCTCACTGAGTATGTTCAGTGCAGGGTAATGTGATAGAATAGAATAGAATAGAATAGAGTAGAATAGAATATAACAAAGCAGGGTATGATAGAACAGAACAGAATGGAATAAAATAATAAAGAATGGAATAAAACACAATAGTCTACTGTAGAACAGAACAGACGGTCATAGAATAGAATAGAGCACAAAAGAACAGAACACAATAACAGAATAGAGAGGAAAAAAAACAAGAGAACAGAATATTATAAAACAGAACAGAATTGAATAGATCATAAGAGAAGAGAAGAGTCTAACAATAGAACAGAACAGAACAGAACAGACCAGAGCGCAGGAGAACAGAACAGAATCAGCTATTATTAAATAGAACACAACACAAAATAGTTGAACAAAACAGAACAGAATCGAGTAAAACTGAATATTATAGAATAGAAGAGAACATAAAAGAGTAGGACAGAATGGGATAGAAGAGAATACAATAGAACATAATCGAATAGAAAAGAACAAAAAAGAGAATAGAATAGGATGGAATATAACAGACTGGAATAAAAAAAAAAAAAGAAAAGAATAGAATTGAATACAGTAGAACACAATACTATGGAATGGAGCAGAAGAGTTGAACAAAATGGAATGCAAAAGAAAAAAAAAAGAGAACAGAACAAACTAGGACATAACTGGAGAGAAGAGAAAAAGAATCGAACAGAATACAGTAAAATGAAATAGAAAACAATAGAATGTAAAACAATAGACTAGACGTGAATAGACCAGTGTTCCATTAGTGTTAGCGTAAAGTGTTATATTATGTGGAAAAACATCACAGTCACATCTGAGAAAAACCCTTCAGTATGACGTCACTCGCCTGTGGCACAATGAGACTGAGCAACTGGAGAGAAAGGGGCGGAGGTGTATTTACACTGTGTGTGTGTGTGTGTGTGTGTGTGTGTGTGTGTCCTGAGGCTTTATTTGGCATTATTCTGAAATCATGTCAGTGTATATTTCATTCTGCCAAACACACATTGTGTAGAAAACCACAGCGTCATTCTGATTGACTGCAGTCAAGTCCCGCCTCTTTCTTCGATTGGTTAAAAAAAAAAATTATAAATTTCATCTCTTGGAGCACAAATCTCTCTGGTGCAACATCAGCTTATAGTAACATACACTCACCTTCCACTTTATTAGGAACACGTACACCCGCACATTCATGCAGTTATCTAATCAGCCAATCATGTGGCAGCAGCGCAATGCAAAAGCTCATGCAGATACAGAGCAAGAGCTTCAGTTACTGTTCACGTCAAACATCAGAATGAAGAAAAAGTGTGACCGTGGCATGATGTCAGAAGGGCTGGTTTGAGTATTTCAGAATCTGCTGATCTCCAGGGATTCTCACACACAGCAGTCTCTGGAGTTTTCACAGAATGGTGCAAAACACAAAAAACAGTGAGTGAGCGGCCCTTCTGTGGGTGGAAATTCCTTGTTGATAAGAGAGGTCAGATGAAAATGACCAGATTGGTTCAAGCAGCCAGGAACGATATAATAAGTCCAAAAAAAAAAAAAATCACTCTTTATAACCGTGATGAGCAGAAAAGCATCTGAGCATGCACAAAACATCGAACCTGGAAGTGGCTACAATCACTGGACAGTTGAAGAATAGGAAAATAATTAACTGGTCTTTTTCCAGTCTTCAACTCCAGTTTCAGTGAGTCTGTGCCCATGATAGTTGTAGCCCGTCCTCCTCAAGGTTTGATGTGCTGTGCGTTCTAAGATGAGCTCTCTGATCTCTTTCATCAGCAAGGTGTTTCAGCCTGCAGACCCTCCACTCACAGGATGTTTTTTTTGTTTTTCGCACCAGGAGATCAGCAGTTTCTGAAATACTCAAACCAGCCCATCTGGCACCGACATCCATGCTGCGATCAACGTCACAGAGATCACACTTTTTCCTTCATTCTGATGTTTGATGTGAACAGTAACTGAAGCTCTTGCTCTGTATCTGCATGGCTTTGCATTGTGCTGCTGCCACATGATTGGCCGACTGGATAACTGCAGGAATGAGCAGTTATAATAAAGTTATAATAAAGTGGACAGTGAGTGTAGTACATACATTAAACCACAAAGTAAAGATAAACATCATATCAGACATGCACACTGTAAATATAGCACAGAAACAAATCCGGTCTGGGTTACAAATTTGTTTTAAAAAATGCGTAAGAAAATTCATATTCAAGTTTTGGGTTGCCAGTTTGGACCAAATGTTTCCATCCCAGGAAACCTACTAAAGCACAGCTCCCATGTAGTCTAGTTTGACAACACAATGTGATTTTATTTAACAATTATGGAAGGAGTCTCTAATGTTATCGGTTTGTAACGCTAAGTTTTGTAACACACAAAAGGCTTCAGAACTTTGCACTTTGCAATTTCACGGTAACGTGACAAGCTGTGTTTTTGTCTCACTGAATTCAAGAGAGAGAGAGAAAAAAAAAGAGGCTGGTGAGGGAATGCCTGTTTATAGCTGCTGTAATGTACTATAAATGGTTAAAAAGTACAAAGTGTTCTTTAATCAATAAAAAAATGTAATTGTTGACAAATTGCTCTGGTATATGAGGAATAAATCACATCCAGATGTGCTGTTATTGGAAAATAATCGACTGGTAACCGTAATCATCGTAGCTTCATCACACCACCCGGTCACTGAGTATTTTCCTACAACGGCACGAGTCAAGGTGTTTGATTCTTTACTTGCAGTACATACAGTAGTACACTGACCCTGTTTTAGTTAACAAATAAAACTTTCACTGGCCATTTTACTTGAGCCTGTCAGTAAACATGCAACAAATGCTGCCAGTGCCAGCAAGTAACCTTGTAACCCTGAAGGTACGGGACTGGTCTTGCACAGTTTACCTAAAGGTTTTGTGACTGT